GGTATAAGGGTAGTTCTTTATAGATTTCAGTACAAACTAACTAATAAAGGATATGAAAGGATACTATATATCCTTTTATATCCACGTTTTTCCGGCTAGTCCTCTGAAGGGGATTAGTCTCTACGCGGTGACAATTATAAACATTCTATAACTAATAAGTAGCTATTAATAAAGATAATTAAGCTTATAGATTCTAATTCACAGTAGAATTAAGTATATTTAAAGTAATTAAGATAAGATATTACTTTATAAACTTGTCTATTAGAGTGGCTTTCAAATGACTCATATATGGTGAGGCTGAAGCTTATTATCCCCAGCCCCCTTTCTTCTATATTTTTCCTATACTGTAATTAATCTGCACACTAACATAATACCATCATAATGATGACAACAAGCTCCAAAAACCATATCCTACTTTTTTCAGCTCCCCATTTATAGACTTTTCAGCGCCATGAATACATACGAAGTTCCGAGCTTGAGCTTGTTATACTTGGAACATTCGAGTCCTGTACTTGTACGTTATACTCAACAATAAATCAAATACTGACACTGATACCAACCAACACTAACAAACCAGCCAAGCGAGCTACAAATTAAGCCCCCCTATTTATCCAGCCAAAGGAGATCGACAAAATATCCACATACATGATTACATCCAGATTTACTCGTACAAAACGCCGCCAATAATGACGATAGCCGCACTCATATTTCTCCCCCGCTTTACCCGCTGGATACTACGGACTCTATGGATTATACTCTCCACCATCTTACTTTACCGCCCGCGCCCATATATATCGGAGATTCAATAATCACCGCACCGCGCAGTTCTAACTACTCACGTCAATGAAAATGGGGGTCTTGTGAGTTGTATCGAATTCCCGCAGTGACTTGGTTAGCCTCGTGCTCTTTTGAACAGAGCACAAGCACCATATCACAAATCAAACTAGACGATGCATCACAACCCAAACCAAACCAAACCAAATCAAGAAAGAGTACTTTGGCAAATATCCCTTCGATATACTCATCTCATCTCATCTCATCTATGAGGTCTCTCTGGATTTCGATATTTCCTATTACTTATTACTTGTATACTCTCGAGTTGAATACAGTCTTCAACACTATTATGCCGGGTCTATACCATTCATACCATACCATATCGTCAAAGGCGTACAGTATTTCTATTAGCGAATACTCGAATACTCGAATATTCGCATACCCGAATCCTCGCGTGTCTGAATACTCGTAGTGAATAATAAATTCGCATCGCTTCAGAATACAGTAACCTACCTATCTATTCACCCAAGTATAAATTCCATATCTATTATGAATCATCTTGTTAATTTATTGACGATATGATTGTGTGAATAATGGTTGCCATGTCCCGGTACAGACAGGTACACGACTGAGACTCTGAGAGTAATATGCAGATTTCCCTTCGCGGATTAGTGCTATATTCTATTATTAACGTGGTTTATCAGTACATGGATCATATCAGTACGTGGATCACTTTTACCTCAATTTACAACTTCAAAACCATATTATTCAACAACAATTGAATCAATTGATTGAAACTATTAGGAATCTAATAATCTAGGATCTATTACATTACTAGAACAAGTTCTTGAATTATGACCTGGTTTTCCACACTTACTACAGCATCTACTAGAAGATGCTTCCTTATTAGAATTCGCTCCATTTTGATGCTCATCGCATAGAATCTGAATATCAATCTTTTGCTGAGATAATATATCTATAGTCTCTTATCCAGTAAATATTTCTCCTTGATATAATTGAGTCTTTTTTGTATATCGATATTTGTTTAATGCCTTATTTGTTTTTCGAAATATATGGATTTCTGTATTTAAAAGTATATTCTTATATACTAATCTCTTTATACCTTTAGCTAAAGCTAGTACAGTTTCGAATATAGGTATAGAAGAGCTTGATTGATGATGATATATTCGAGATTTGACTAAAGTCGATTGTGAAAGAGCTTCAGTTGGATTGTGAGGTGTTTGAGAGACCCAAGAATCGACAGGTTCCAAGGGAGTGGATAAAGGGCTAGGCGTATGAATTCGAATATCTAATTTCGAGAGCACGGCTTGAGGGTCAAATAGTATTAGTCCTGCTCCTTGAAAGCCAGCTTTTATATTCTGAATTGTAATCGATTGTTGATATGCAGCTTTGAAAGCTATAAAGAATTCAACCTTTGAGATATGATTGATATAAGCTTTGATAAATCCTTCAATCTGAGAATCATATAATCGTTTCAATACACTAAAGCATCTAATATCTAATGGCTGAGTTAAATAACTTGAATACAATGGTAATTTGAGATATATAATATCATTTTCCATATAGTATAATTGAAAAGATATCAATTTGTAGCTTTCATGCCCATCCAATACTAGTATTCGATATTTGCCTATTCTTCAATGGATTGTATATTTATCGAAATACTTTATCCATTCTAAATCTGTCTCATTATTCGTCCATCCATTGCTAGTAGGTTTAATAACCCAATTTGCCGGCAGATCAGTTTCAGTATACCAATTAGAAAGGTGATATTGTCCTTGCACCACTAAAAATGGAGGTATAGTTTCACCCTCTCTATTATCATATATAATCGCTATAGTCTATTCTCGATTGCCTGGCTGTATTGCTTTGTTTCTACCACACTGTTCAATATCAGTTATAACCATTCCAGAGCATATTATACCTATTATAAAACCGGTTTCGTTGAAATTGTAAAAATCGCAATCCTGAATACTATATTTGGCCTATATATTCGATACTAATCGAAACCACTCTTCAATAAACTTGGGATCTTCACAAAGAGCTCTTTGAAAATCATAAATACAATTGAAACACATCTTTAATTCCATATAACACTTTACGAATCGATAAGCCCAGAGTTTTCCAACCTTTTTCGTATCTCTCGATTCAAGAATATAATTCGTTATATCTTCCACACCACTTAATTTAGATGCAAACCCTCGATTGCC